CTAACCCAACAATAGTATAAAACCCATTGTAAATTGTAAATATTTTTTAGAAGAGTGACTTATTGTTTGATATACATGACTATTTTATTTTAAGTATAGCACAAGTATTAAATTTAGATATTTTTAGAAGCAATAGTTTGCTGTAGATCTGTTATGTAACTGTGTGCAAATCGTACATTGTATAGTTCAGTTGTTGTGATCTGACGTCATGTTACTCGAACCTTCTTACTTTTTCTTGGTGATTTAATGGAGTATTGTTGCATCATAATGTTTAATAGTGTGTAGAATGTCTGAGACTGCTGTCGTGTATATATATATATGCGCGTGGATAAAGTTAGTAAGAAATAATTAATCAGTTAAGTTAGTGAAAGATATTGTCAAATAGATCCAGACTGCGTATTTCAGAGTTTAGCCATATAAAGTGTATATCGGCAATTTGAAAATGAAAGTATCACAGGTTGTATTACAATAACACGGTAGAAAAGAATAATTCGTCTTGTCAAAGGGTGTTTGAAGTAACTGAACCAGCTTGTGTGGACTTTGATGAAAAGAGTATTATTTAAATATCTGGACATAACTATGATACCAAACAATGTAACTAAAATTTGTATATATGTTTGACTTATTTTAATATATTGTTTTAAAACAATTGGACTATGTGCTGTATGTTTATTATTAAAATTTATTGCCAACAAGTCATGGCTAGACACCTACTGTAAAGAATTTGGCCCTATATAAAACCTGACAATTCACTGGATTTAAAGCTAGTATGAGAATTTTTTAGGTTTTATTTTATGTTGAATGTTTATATAATTTTGTCTGGATAGCGCTGTATGATGTCAACATAATCAGCAATGAGTGGGAAGAATCATGAGGTATAATGTCGTAAAGGATACTGTTACATATCTGCTTGTTTGTTAATTTTCGGTAAAAATTATTTCTGAGAAATTTCAGTGATACAAGTCCTTTCTTGGTTAAACTAGTTTATTCTTTCTCGATACAAACTTTTAGTACACAGTAATTTCACAATCAGTACGTTT